GGGGGGAGGGGGGATAACAATAATATATACAACCCTCGTCGCCACCACTAACTCTGTCATCGCCATCACCTCATTCACAACATCCACCACCACCACCTCCAACACCAACAACACTATCGTCATCACTAGCAGTCTGCCGCCGACATTATTGGCCACAACAACTACCACTACCATCACCATCTTAACCAACACCACCCGCCTCCGACATCGCCATCATCTTTTACTACCAACTAGAAATCAGTATGCTTAATGGTATATGTACATCTAGTTTGTTTGTTTAGTATCATTAATTATCAATGTGGTTTAATATTATTTATATAACTACAAACAAAAAAGAACAAAACAATTTTTTTTATAAATAGTACTAAAAACATATAAAAACAATTTTTTTTTATAAATAGTACTAAAAACATATAAAATAAAACTTTTGATCCACATTTTATTTCACAAAAAAAAAATTAGATATTGAAAAGAGAAATTAGATATTCTTCTATATTTTATTCTCATCCATCCTCCTACCATATCAAATGTTGACATGTGTCACATTTAGTAACACATTTAATGAAATTAATACTAATTTAATCCACTTGTCACCATTTGATATGGTACGAGGATGAGTAGAAATAAAATATAAGAAGATATTTAATTTTATTGATTGTTGTATAAGGTGTTATTTATAAAGAAAATAAGAAGAATAACACGTGGGTTTATGGGTTTATTTATGGAAAGATTAGAAGTAGTACAATAGGATTTGGAATCCGTGGGTACCTCTAATTTCCCTTTATATTGTTTCCTTTTTTTTTTTTCCAAAAGTGCAAAATCCTTCATGTAGATTGTGTGATTAATTATATTCCGGAAATAAGTTATGATAAGTAAGATATATGATATATAAATTTCATATATAAAATTAGAAATACTTGTATACGAAGTCATCCGATCCGGAAAAAAAACTGATTTTATATATTAATCATCAATTTTTATTTTGAAGTTTTATTCAAATCCAAATATTTTCAAAGGAGAAAAAGGGGTCAAACATACACGTACTCTCAACAAACTCCTGATTGGAAGCGAGATTCTGATTCCCTTTTTCTAATCCAATAAGGAATCTCCCCGCTTGGCTCTTTCTCTCTATAGTCTATATATACACGGACTGAAAGATTTAATTACCTCAGAATCCAGAAGAACCTTACACTCCTACACAATGGCGTCGACGACAAAAACCGACGAAGATAATCCCAGCGTCACTGAAGTTGATCATGAATCTGATGAAGCAGCAGCCATGGAACGAGTGTTTTCAAATACGGAGGTTCCATCGTGGAGAAACCAGATAACCTTTCGAGCAATCATCACGAGTTTCATCCTTTCCATCGTCTTCAACTTCATTGTTTGCAAGCTCAACCTCACCACCGGAATAATCCCCTCGCTAAACGTCGCCGCCGGTCTTCTTGGGTTCTTCATCCTAAAATCATGGACGACTTTGCTGAATAAATTCGGCCTTCTGAAACACCCTTTTACACGACAAGAGAATACAGTGATTCAAACTTGCGTTGTGGCTTCTTCAGGAATCGCTTTCAGTAGTACGTTTCTTATTTCTTCCTTATTAATTTAATAGCAATTTCTTTATATATATATATATATATATATATATATATATATATATATATATATATATATACAGTTTCATTGATTCTAACTTCCATGGAACAAACAGGTGGAACTGCAAGTTATTTGTTAGGAATGAGTTCAATGGTTGCGTCTCAGTTGGAGACGGGGAACACGCCGATTAATGTGAAGAAACTCTCCCCAGGGTGGATGATTGCTTATCTCTTTGTTGTCAGCTTTGTTGGCCTCTTCTCCATTGTTCCCTTACGCAGGGTATGAAACTTATAACTATTAGTTAACTACTCATCAAGATCTTTTTTTAAATATGTGGATTTCATCTTAGATATATGATTCCGTGTGTCTAGATGAAGATTGTTTCAGTTTTATAATTTTAATTTGATTTGATTAATTTTTTAAATATGTTATGTTGTTTAGATGATGATCATGAAGTTAAAGCTCACGTATCCTAGTGGAACCGCTACTGCATACCTTATCAACAGCTTTCATACTCCCAATGTGGAAAAGTTGCCTCCAAAATTAACAAGTGGCAAATAGTTCAGGGGTTATTTCAGTAACTTATCATTTACTATTCATAGTTTGACTATAAATATATATGTGAATGAAAGAATGGACGGTGAACTCTTTTGTTAGGCGCATTCAAAATTTGACTATGAATAGTATATGTGAAATTGAATAATTTGAAGGCGCATATATAATTAATAGACGCCTACAATTGGACGCCTACAATTTGGACGACATTTTATTTTGCAATTGGTATTCTCTTTGGCTATAAATAGCCTGAGCCAGAGAAGTTTCATAACAA